CAAGCCGAGGGACAATTCGGGAGAATTTACTGTACTGAAAGACTAAATTAACTGAACACGGGAAACATGCCATATAAGCATGGAGCATGCGCAATGTGTAACGTTATGTGTCATAGCACAAGTATATTGCATATATTCTTATATATATATAAGAATATATGCAATATACTTGTGCTATGACACATAACGTTACACATTGCGCATGCTCCATGCTTATATGGCATGTTTCCCGTGTTCAGTTAATTTAGTCTTTCAGTACAGTAAATTCTCCCGAATTGTCCCTCGGCTTGCGAAGGAAAATGGACAATTTGGGAAGAGGAGACACGATTATTCGAACCTTTCGGCTCGTTTTTATACTCGCCGATTGCCAATAACTATAAAAACGAGCCGTTGGCTCGAATAATCGTTTACGAGCTAATTACAAGCTAATTCTCCATTTTTGTTTACAAGCTGAAGAACAATTGCGAAGAACAATTTATTATACTGACTTCGTGATAACCTCGAATAAAAAGGGTTAAATCGTTGACACAGAACACTCCAAGACACAATTAAATTTCAGAAAAATCGTCCCACGGTGACCATGATTACGGCCATTTTATTTATTGAAATTGGAAAAGAACATATTATATTCCTAATTAGCGTAAGTTTAGCTGTCGAGGGTACTAGAACAAAAGAAAAAGAAGACGATAATTAAAAAGACTGCACTTGGCTACACTTTGAAATTTGATTATCGATATTTCGTATTGATTTCTCAATATCCGGTGCCTAAAAAGGGTGTAAAAGATGAAAACTTTGCGCTGTTTCTAGTATAAAAGTTATAGTGATAAGCGCAACGAGGGCGTATCTAAATTTCGAAATACCATGATCGTCGTATTCGAAAATATGGTTTCGAAAGAGACATAGTTAAAGTTTCGTACGCCAATTATCATTCGTATTATGAATATCTTAATTTTAAAAATTCGGTTCATAAACGTAATCAAACGTAATCAAACATGATCTAACGTAATCAAACATAATCAAACAATCAAACATAATCAAACAATCAAACATAATCGAACAATCAAACATAATCGAACATAATCAAACATAATCAAACATAATCAAACACAATCAAAACACAAGTTCTAGCAGACATATTTCCGAGCCGATATTCTCCACGCGAACACAACAAAAAAGAACATCGAATTTTTCAAAGATTTGTTTCGAAGAAAAAAAGAACACCGCTTCGAGTTACTTCGAGTTGCAAAACTCGCGAGCAATCGACGATCCCCATTGTCTGAACCTCCCCATTTCCAAACGCCGATATATCCTGGCTCTTCCAAATGGGTTAGGACCGGAGAAGAATCGGGAGACCGGCATTAAGGGAAAGCATCCCGGTCCCGATCCGATTCCTTCCGCGACATTATTTTCGGCGCGGCGCGGCGCGATACGCAGCGGGTCGACGCCAGAGAGATAATCTCGGTCCCACGGAGCGCAGTCACATTTTCGTGAGATCCCCCCCTCCGCGCGATCTATCTGTTCCATCTATCCTCTCTCGCTGTCTCTCTCCTTCTCTCTTTCTCTTTTTCTCTCTTCTTTTTTCTTGCCGCTAAGTAAACGGACGCCCCGGAACGACACGTTCCCAGACTGCCGTCTCGACTGTACGCAGAGAAGAGACGCAACGGCGCCACGGAGACGCACTACTTCGATCGGATTCCTCGCCTCCACTTACGTTGCAGGAATTCCTTCCTTCTCCTCGGGCCGAAACGTCACCGACGCGGCACCGCTCGGCGCGGCCCGGTTGCTTTCGGGGAAGCCGCAGTTGAAATTCGCCGGCCGAGCGCTGCAGAAAATGCATGGCTGGCTTAATTGCCGTTTCAGAGGCGAATTCATCCAGCGTTCCACGGGCTACCTAATCGGAGAAAGATTTCTTCCTCTATTCCATTTGTTCTTTCCGACCTCTTTTTCCTTCCTTTTTTCTCGCCCTCTTCTCGTCTCCCATCCCTCCCTCCCTCCCTCTCGCTCTCTCTCGCTCTCTCTCTTCCACCCCGCCTAGACCGACCGCTCTCCCGCGCTACCCTGTTCGGGTAAACTTAGTAAATCAAGAGGAATCGGCAGGATGGGAATTTTCGAGTGAATTTTTCCCTTCTCGCGCGCGGCCACGCTCCGCCAGCTTCGCCCCGCTGCTCCGTAAAGTTTTCAAGAAAGACGTTCGACTGGCCTTTGCGGATTTCTGCGAGTCCTATACGGTTCGCTCGCATCGCCGTGTAGTTCTTTTTCTTCTTCCGCCGCGGACGGATTAACGAGCCGTGTTCCGCTTCAATGGGAACATGCTGCTTCCAGGTCGGCCGCCGCTGTCCGATGTTTTAGAATGTTTAGCCCGTGTTTTGGGTCAGTTTCGCCGGTTCACGGTAGGTACTCTTGGTCGAACGTTTTAAACGGATCCGGGAAATGGAGGTTTCTTTGCGAAATAAATGCGACGCGGCTCGATTCGTGGATTATGGATGTTGAAATTTTAGCCTCGAACAAAAATTAATCTATAGTTTACTTAGTACTAAGATGCTAAGATATCGGTTTACATTTTCGTCGGTTCCGTCATTGAAAAAGATTAATAATAATAAAATAACATTAAATAAATTAAATTATCAATTTAATTTAATTAAATTGATGATAAAATAATAACATATTTCCAGGAACAGAAGGTAGACTTGAGATTAGTTCATTCTTTAGAAGATCTTTCTAATTTTGAGTATCTGTTAAAATCAAATTTCCTTCATTGATACTTCTCTTGCAGTATTTATATTATATTTATAGATTACATTTATATATTATTTATATATTACATTTATATATTATTTATATATTATTTATATATTACATTTATATATTATTTATATATTATTTATATATTATTTATATATTATTTATATATTACATTTATATATTATATTTATGTATTATTTATATTACATTTTTGCAGCTTTTCCACTATTTTCTTGAATTGCCTAATGATTATGAACTTCCTCAAATTCTTGCATTCAAGATCACGCGAAGGTCGCAGAATTATAGATGGTTGAATCCTTTTCGACCACAGCTGTCGTATCGCGATGAAGAAAATATGTAGTTCACGTGTAAAAAAAAACTCCGAAAACCTTGAAATCTCAAAAAATACGACCTTCAAAAAGATGCCTACCCCATCACGGTACAGGAGAAAATAAAGCCTCCCCCTAAAACTTTGTCCCCACTATAAAAAATAAGCATATACATATTCAAGACGATCTATGTACTTAGGCGTGAACAGAATGCACTTATTAACACGTTCCGTGCCACGTGTACCATCGATGGTACACGCTTGCATGTTTACTTAGTGAACTGAACAAATTGTTTACAAGAAATTTAGAACCGAAGAATCAATTTCCACCGCAAGAATGGGCGTTGATAAGTTTTTGTTACGTTGTTATGTGTACGAGAATTAATAATTGCACGTAATACATCAAGTTTTAGTAAAATATCAAAGTGTGAAGATTCGAGTAAAAAAAGCTCGGCACGGGACGTGTTAATATAATTTAACCCCACATAGAACGCGCTGAAATATTAAGGGGACCGGAAAGTTATGTCGTTTGTTCACATTTGTTGAAATTTTAGCCTCGAACAAAAATTAATCTATAGTTTACTTAGTACTAAGATACTAAGATATCGGTTTACATTTTCGTCGGTTCCGTCAGCGGGCAACGACGATATCTGGTTGAATATACCACCAAATACAACGGTGATATCTCTCTAATAAACAAATCCTTTACGTCCCTTATTTATTATTAAATCAGCTTTGCAAATCATTCGTTAATCTTCACTGTACACCTTGCATAAAAATTTCATATGGTACACACGAGGTGTCATGCACACCAGAAAATTAAAACAGCTGTCACGGTTAAACTTCATATTATTTCGGGTCCGAAAAATTAGTAAATATTCTTCAGACGTTCTAAAGTAAAGGTGAACAGCGTTTTTCTTAAAAATATCACTGTTATGGAGTAAAAGAAATCCGGAAAGTTCTTGCTTCGTGACTTGTTCAATATTTCGAACGCGGCTCGGGTCCGTCCCGACCCTCTATCAAAGCCTTGTGCTGCGGCCTCTCTCGNTGATGTACGAGGAAGGACCGTCTTTACTCTCCTGATTGCTCCAGGAGACTGAAGACTATTCACAAAGACGAAACCAAAAACGTCACCTAAAGACAAAGAGCACTCTGTTCTATATACATATGAAATCATTGTTTATCTAATGGTACTCTGGCGAGACTCTCGGCGTCGATTCGTTTTTGTAACTTATATGCTAGAAGGAGAAACTTCTGAGTATTCAAAAGAGAGAAAATAATCCAATAATCTATAACTATAGAAATCAAATTCAATTATTTAATTAGATAATTTCATCAAACCTAAATCAAAATAAAAATTAAATTTTACTCTATTATAAATTAATCCCACATTATTAATCACCATAAAATTCATCTTAAATAAGTCAAAACTCAAATATATAATTACAATCACAGTAATAGCTAATTATTTATCCGTAATTAAAAGAAAACCAATATTTTATAAATAATAAATATGTACAATAAATTTTGATTGAGCTTAGATTTGTGCTATATCATTACTGAACTCCAATGGCGCATTAATATTATTTCACTTCGTCATAGTCAGAGATAACCACAGTTTGCAACCGGGTTTAAATTTACAGCGTCGAACTTTGGCAAAAAAACCTCAAGCGAACCCACGCAATGTCGGGTCGCACACTTAGAGTGCGCCTTCGCTGATTATTTCTGCGAAGGAAAATTTAAAGAGATCTTAGCTCGCGATTCATTAGATTCGCTCGAGCGTACCCACGCAATGTCGGGTCGCACACTTAGTGTGCGAATTTTTCCTTGCATGTTGCAGATGATGTTCACGCGGATCGGCAGTGAGGTGTGCTTGCGATGCTACCATTGACAGCGCCAATGCGGTTGAGGGAACGACCGACAATGTTCTGGCCAGAAGGAAAGAAATCGCTCTGGCATTGAACGCCGGGAAAACTGTAGGTATATGCAATATATATGTACGATAAAATGTATATTCATAATGTATGTACTTCTAATTCTACTTCCATGTTACAGTCGCAGTGGAAGACCATTCTCGGCAAATTAGCTCGGAGGACCACGAAGCCCTCGAGGGTCGCTTTGGTAGCTGCCAATGTGAGTAAATTTAAAATTTTCAACTTTGAGTATTATTTCGAATTTATAACGCGATAAAATGTAAAAATTTGTTCTAGTAATTGTAGCAATTTATTTTAATAGCATGATTGTTTTTGTAGCATGGAATATCATATACAAACAAAGATGCAACAGGTGAAAATTTGTGAAGTAAGCAACACCTCCGCCGCAGCAGCGGCGACCGCCAGCAACGGCATTTGGAGCAACGCCGTGCAGCGGAGGCGGAAACCATCTCCCATTTGTCCGGAAGGAAAGAAATCGCTCTGGCATTCAACGCCGGGAAAACTGTAGGTATATGCAATATATGTGTACAACAGAATGTATATTTATAATATATATACTTCTAATTCTGCTGTTATATTACAGTCACAGTGGAGAAACATATTGGGGCAGTTAGCTCGAGGGACTGCCAGGCTTAAACTGGCGAACTTTGTGGCTGCCAATGTACGTAAATGAAAAATACTTTTATATATAATATAATATAGTAATATGTATAATAACAAATTATAATAATAATGTATACTTATACGTTGCAGAGAGAGCTCAAAAAGCTACTCAAGAAAAACATCTATGGCCCCCAGAAAAGGGGCAAGGAAAGAAGAGGAGGAAGAGGAGGAAGAGTAGGATGAGGCGGAAGAGGCGGAAGAGGCGGAAGAGGAGGAAGAGGAGGAAGAGGAGGAAGAGGAGG